AGCGCCGCCGCGCTTCCCAAGCGGTGCACTATCCAGTGCGCCACCGGGCCGGCCCATATGTTACATTTTAAATGAATTTGGATTACGTGGAATTTGGAGGTGGTAACTAGAATATAATGGCACGCCATAAAACCACAGGCACTTCAAGCATTTCATTCTCATGTTGTGGTCACTTGTAGTCTTCTCACTTTAGCTGAGGTCAAATGTGGAAAACACATCAACAACATTCAGCAGGTGTAATATCATCTTCACCTGACAGTGATTTTTAGACTGACACGATATGACTCATGTCTACAATATTCCACTTAAAATCATTTGTTAATTATTAGTTGTTTTAGACTTTAAAAAAAGAAGCAAGCAGATAATTGGAGTCAGCTGAGACAGAGAAGAGAGTTGAACGTTGACTTGAAGAAGCACAGGGCAGAGGTGAGAATAACTGCGTTAATGAAGGTCTTGTGATTTAATTTCAGTCATCACTGCCTACATGAACAAGGCGTCTTTACCTGAGTGGTGTGACTCTCCCGATGTCTCTGAAATGATGACGTCGTGGTGCTGCTTACACACAACCTGGAGTATCCATCTTCTTCAGGTAAACCTATTGAGGCCAACACAAATCAGCAGTTAAGTTGTGTCTCCTTTCCCCAAATAAAGTAAACTGTGTACTTACTGTAACATACTAAAATTACATATTTTACAGATGGAGATGATCATCCATAAACACTAATCAAATACTCAATTTTTCAATGAAACATGGGCATCCAAAATATTGCTGCAGTTGTATGTAGTAAAAGAAGACATGCACTGATAGAAGGAGTAAGATGATAATAAAGAAACACATCCCAATAGCACAAAAATGAGCAAAAGAGTATTGGAGGGGAGAAGGGAAACCGTTCTAGAGACCGGGAATATTTGCTGAAGCATCGACGGGAAAGGGAGGCACGTGGCCAACGGAGAGAAGACAGATTCACCTGGGCTCCTACAGAAGGTGCAGCTGGCATTTCATTTGTAGGAGAGTAGGGAGGTAGAGAAGGGATTAAAAACAGATAAGATAGAAACAAGTGTATGTATCAGATGAATTCCATTGAAGGTAGTCAATTTTGCACACAAAAAAGATGGAATTTAGGTGAGTTTCCATGAGGAAAAGGTTGGGGTAGCTGCCCATTCACAACATGCCATTCATAACCAACTATATAGGATAAGTTGTGGGTTTAAGGAAATTTGCATGCTCCTTTACACAACCAATATAGAAGTACCTATGAGGAACTAAAGAATTTTATTAATTATTCTTCGTGATAGAAGCAGTGTTTCTCAACCTTGGCACTTTGGCATTTGGGGCCATATAATTCTCTGTTGTGGGGACTGTCCTGTGCATTGTAGATTGTTTAGCAGTACCCACTAGATGCCAGTAGCATCCCCATTTGTAACAACCAACATGTTTCCAGACATTGCCAAATGTCTTCTGGGGGGCGAAATTGTCCTTCCTCCAATGGTTGAGAATCTTTGTGATAGAGGTATCACATATCACCACAAGTGACTTGATTAATAAACACAAATACACAAAAAGAGAAATAACCACCCAATGGAAAAAGTTCAACCCAGAGAACTTTAAATACTGAAGCAATTACTACTCTCATCTGAAGGCATAATTAACTGGCATGGCATAATTGATTAAACATACACATGATTCCTAAATTAAAAATCATTAGAAAATCACTGCACATTGTTCCAATTACAGGAGTGAATGAGTTCCTCAGGGAACTCCACACAGTCCTGTTAACACCTAACAATGCCTGCCAATTGATCTCCGTGTTTTACGTACAAATACCACAATATGGAAAGCTCAACTGCACAGTCCAAGCAGACTACAGCCAGCACCTGGAAACTGGCACACCTGTGGATGCGGAGCCCTGTGCTGGAGAATGGGTCCCAGCTGTCCACGATAGCAATCACCTTCATTTGTAAGTGGGAATCTGGTGTTTAGACACTGGGGTAGCAGGTAAAGGAAAGGCTCCAACCAAACAGCTCATGTTGGAACAATCTGGAGCTCAAGCAAGTAGGAGGGTATATGGAAGTCTAAGATCAGACACAATTTTGAATTTCAGGCAACTAGATAAGCAGAGGGTTGGCAAAATCAATCAACCAACCAATCAATCAATCAACCAATCAATCAACAAAATGTGTTTCCAGGCAGCAGGGCACAGCACAGGGCTGGAGATTCAGGAGAAGGCCTCCCTCTTTGAGGAGAGTCAAGGCTATGTGTGAAGGGGGAAAAAGGGCAGATTGATGAGCAAGACAAATGCACACTTCTAGAGAGAAACCAGTTCGCTGGACGTCTTCCTGATACAGGGGATCAGAGGCAGGGAAAGAGAATTGTGATCCATTATTCAGCTGAGGAGCTCATCACGGAATGTGGAGGACTCTTCACCTGAACACACACGGGAATGACTCAGGGGTTCAGTACAGTGCAGGTAGCTCAGAGGAGGATCTTGGAGAAAGCAGGGATTAACCCCAACCAAAGGGACTGGAAAATACTTCCTGGTGCTGCAGTAGAAGGATCTGGGCCTTCGGGATGAGAAGACTTTCAAAAGATGAAGTTGAGAAGAGCACGCCCGGCTGAGAGAATAAGTGAGCTAAGGCAATGAAAAACCAGACAGCTCCATGGCTGGGGAATGGATGACATGGCCAGGGTGGGACACCTGGAGAACGTACTGGAAGTACAGGAGTCCAGATGGTAAAGGGCTTTCCAGAGCACTTCACACAAAAGTGACCATATTGTGTAAACAGTAGGTAGCACTGCTGATTTCCAAGAAGAGCAGTGACACCATTTTACGTAAGAGGTGAGTCAAAAGGAATTTCATGGCTAATGACTAAAGAAAACATTGGCCCAGATCCTGTGGCTGGCTCAACAGGGAGGGACACATGGCTCCAGTTTGGGGCAGGTGGGGGAGGACAGAAGTAGAGGCAGGCAGATGAGGAGGGACTGGAGAAGGGGTTAGAGGAGTGGACAGTGTGAAAAGTCTGGGGGAGGAAACCCTGAAGGCTGCAGCGACAGGTGAAAGACCCTCAGGATGGCCAGTGCATCCAGGTGGTGTGAGCTAGGGGGACAGGGTGTTGCCAGGAAGCTGCAAAGGCATGAAGGAGGCTAGACAGTGGGGTTTTTATTCTTTGACCATCAAACTATTTTATTTTGCTGTCATATTAGAAGCAGCACCTTTTTAAAAACAAATGATCTAAAAATGACACCAAAGGCACAGACCACGAAGGAAAAAATGGATCAATGCCTCTATAGAAACATTAAAAATAAATATATGTTGGCCGGCCCGGTGGCGCACTGGATAGTGCG